GAGGAGGAGAGGCTGCCATTGCTGAGACCCAGTCCCCTGTGATGCATCAGCTCTGAGGGGCAGACAGAGTAATAATAATAATAATAATAATAATAATAATAATAATAATAATTTATTCATACCCCGCCATTCCCGGTTCAGAAAACCGGGCTCAAGGCGGCTAGCAACAAATTTAAAACACTTAATTGATGCAACAAAAAACAGCATAAAATACAGTATAAAACGTGAATAACAATAAATTCAGAATTCAAAAATCAACTTAGGGGGGAAATCCATCCAAATAAACATTAGATGATCATCAGGGCTAGCTGGCTAAATTAGTCCTATTTGGGCCAGCGAGGAGACCAGGGGAGAATTAGCTGTGGGATCCCAGAGAGGGTAATCTTCATAAAAAGGGGAGGGGGAGGGAAGGAAGGGGAATAAAAGATCAGGCTAAGTTCAAATTGAAAGCCAGGCGGCATAGCTGTGTCTTACAGGCCCTGTGGAAGGAGGTTAAATCCTGCAGTAAAGGGCCGCCCTGGATGGGAAGAAAGGAGGAACAGAGAGGAAAGGGTCTTGTTTTTTTTTTAATTAAAAAATGCTTCTGTGTCTAATCAGTTTGGGGAGTGAGAATTGCCCCCATTTTCATATGAGGAATGTTGGAGGGTATGCACTTGGTGGTCCTACTGGCCATGCCGAATGGATCTCAAGGGTCGTGTGCACAGTTTAGGATGCCTGGACCCACTGAAATCAGTGGGTGCCACGTGTGCCCACATCTTTCACACAGGACTGGGGTGAAAGGTGGCTCAGGAGTTTTCCTTGGCATGCACAGATATCAGGCCAACTTTTTTCTTTCTGTACACCTCATTGAGCAATATTTAAGCATTAAACACACGTGAAATCACACAGGCGTATACTGTACCTTTAAACAAATCAGTAAGAACAGGAATTCACCGCACACAAAAGATAATCAGTGGTAATTTTCCAGTTGTAGTTTTCTTTCTTTTACTTTGGGCAAAAAAACTCTGTATTGCTCAGATTGTGAGTCACTCCCTATCTTGGAAAATCACCCCATATATAGTCAGTCACCAGATTTGTGCGACGGGGGCATATTTCAGACCCATTTAAGAGCCTCACGTCACATCTGCCCCAAACATTTAAAGCAGGGGCCAGCAAACTTTTTCAGCAGAAGGCCAGTCCCAGAGATCTTGTGGTGGGCCAGACTATTTTTTTGGGGGGGAGGGATGAACATATCCCTATGCTCCACAAATAACCCAGAGGTGCATTTTAAATAAAAGCACACATTCTACTCATGTAAAAACTCCAGCCAGGCCCCACAAATCACTCAGAGATGTATTTTAAATAATAGGACACATTCTGCTCATGTAAAAACACGCTGATTCCTGTACTGTCCACAGGCCGGATTTAGAAGGCAATTGGGCCGGATCCAGCCCCCGGGCCTTAGTTTGCCTACCCATGATTTAAAGCATATTTACATCGCATGCTTCTCAGAATCCTGGGAACTGCAGTTTGTTAAGGGCGCTGGGAGTTATAGCTTTGTGAGGGTTAAACTACAGTTCACAGGATTCTTTGGAGGGAGCCATGGTTTAAATCCCCGGACTTAGAAATCAGTTGCTTCTCTGAGCGTCTAATGATGCAACTGGGCAGCCAAGGGGGCTCTAACCCCCCCCCCCCGACACCTTGCACTCTTGCCATAAACTGGGCCTTTCCCCCCTTTCACTATACAATATTAATACGCTGTTTTTCCACTTAGCGGGCTTACAGGACAAATCGTTATCAGAGCCAACTAAAAATAACGTCTCAAAGACTCCCAGAACAATTTGCGTTATTAGAGGCTGTGTGTTTCAGTACCTTGGTCACAAGCTGTGAAGAGCTTTAAAGGTCAGCCCCGGCACTTTGAATTGTGCCTGGAAACAGACCAAGCTCCTGCACAGCTGCTCTATCTATCTGCTCAAAGCAATTTTTATTACTTTGCTTCTCGGTTGAAACGGCTTACAACGGGAATAATGGCAGCGTACGCACACACGTAGCGGCCCCTGAGTTTGTGAGGGCGTGATTTGTACCTGTGGGCCCCATTTATTTATCTATTTCATAATGTAGACTCCTTTATGTGCAGGGCCTTGTTGGTGACACAGAGAGCTCCCTCCGCTGGTGGTGCTAGGACAGGAGGCGTAGAGAGTTAGGCTGCAGCAATGCAGTTTCTCTGTAGTCCACAGAGTGCCTCTTGTGAGTAACTAGCCGCCTTCCTCAGAAGCGTCGCTCGTGCCGGCGAGCCTCGAACCTTCACGGCATTCCCCAAGGGCTGCCCACTTTGCATGAGCGCTGTAGAGCACTCCTATCCGCCACCGGGCAAACCCACCCCAGCACGGCGCTGCGCCAGGAGTCCCTGCATTGCCCCCTCGCGTTTACATCTGCATCGCACCCCTTCCCCACCCTGAGCACTGCTGTCTGTCGAAGGATGCCACTTAACAAGCAAGAGGCATTTTGTCTTAGCACCGCCAGTGTAATTCTGCCTCTCTCGCTGGGCTTCCTGCAACAACCACCTCTTGCTTCTCCTCTCCCCTTTTCTCCTGCAGCTAGTCCTGGAGACTTACAATGTCCCGGAGCTGTCGGACGGCGTCAACTGCACCTTTGGGGACCTGTCGGAAATGGACGGCGTAGTGCTGGGGAGCCGGATTCAGTGCAAGTCCCCCGCAGCCAAGGAGGTGCCAAAGATCATCACAGCGAACGGTGAGTCCGACTGAGTCTCCACCCAGGATGTTGTTACAGAGACAGGGGGAAGAAACTGAATTCAGCTCCCATCTAAAGGTCTGCTACCTGCACAATTCACTGTTGTCGGAAGGATGCACCAGCCGAAAAGCAGCCGTCCTTTGAAACCCACACGTCCCTTGAATTTTGCCAGTGCACGCTCACAAAGAACGCATGAGGTTGGGTAAAGTGTGCATTAAACATTGTGCATATCGGCGGGGGAAGCCATACAAAATTCATTGTTTTAAGGGAAAAGGCTTTGTAAAAAGGTGCGCATTAAGCAACGTTGCGTACACAAACACAGAAATTCACAGTGATACATTTTCATGAGTTTTTTTTTCTTCTTCTTCTCCTTAATTAAAAAAAGTGCAAACTGATGCGGGGAAACGAATTTAAGTTTGGGGGGGAAAGGGAAATGGAGAGATGTACCCATCCCAAATTTCTTGGGATTTCCCTTTTCCTTTTGAAGGCGAACTGTGGCATTTGGGGAGGGCACTTAACCCTGCCACAAGTTTGGGGGCCACTTATCAAGAATGCTTCTCAGTGAACCCAAGAACTGACCTTGAATATCCTGATATGGCACAGGAGAGGGGATCATTTCTGACATGTGCTGAATCCAAGTGGACCTTCTCTTCCCCCTTGCCCAAATTTAAATGGGGGGCAAGCAGGCATACGTTGCTCCCACTGCTCTGTCCAGCCCTTTGAAGTCCCCAGCAAGGGAGAAGTAAAAGGTAAAGGTAAAGGGACCACTGACCCTTAGGTCCAGTCGCTGACGACTCTGGGGTTGCAGCGCTCATCTCGCTTTACTGGCTGAGGGAGCTGGCATTTGTCTGCAGACAGCTTTTGGGTCATGTGGCCAGCATGACTAAGCTGCTTCTGGCGAACCACAGCAGCGCACGGAAACGCCATTTACCTTCCTGCCCGAGTGGTACCTATTTATCTACTTGCACTTTGACATGCTTTCGAACTGCTAGGTGGGCAGGAGCAGGGACCGAGCAACGATTGCTCACCCAGTTACAGGGATTCAAACCGCCGACCTCCCGATTGGCAAGCCCAAGAGGCTCAGTGGTTTAGACCACAGCGCCACCCGTGTCCCCTAAATCTAAGTTAAGAGGTAAAGGGACCCCTGACCATTAGGTCCAGTTGTGGCCGACTCTGGGGTTGCAGCGCTCATCTCACTTTATTGGCCGAGGGAGCCGGTGTACAGCTTCCGGGTCACATGGTCAGCATGACTAAGCCGCTTCTGGCGAACCAGAGCAGCGCACGGAAACGCCGTTTACCTTCCTGCTGGAGAAGTACCTACTTATCTACTTGCACTTTGACGTGCTTTCGAACTGCTGGGTTGGCAGGAGCAGGGACCGAGCAACAGGATCTCACCCTGTCGCAGGGATTTGACCAACCTTCTGATCGGCAAGCCCTAGGCTCTGTGGTTTAGACCACAGCGCCACCCGCGTCCCTAAGGGAAGAGTAGCTCTTATTAAATGCAACGCATTTAACTGAGCTGTCAAAGTCATCAGCATGGCAGATGGGCAGCAGTGGGGCACTCCGATGGCAAAATGTATGCAGGAGTGTGCATGTGCATGTGTGTGTACAGGCCGGCGGTGATGAGTTGTTGTCAGGTTCCCTTTGGCGTGATTGATTAATGACTCTCTCAGGTGAGGAAGAAAATAATAGAGGTGGAAGAGGGCAGGCGGGTTAAAGTTTTGCATTAAACATGTGCACCTTCCTTATGAAATTCCTGCAATTACTGTCATCAGCCAGCATCCTGGTCTGTTAGGCAGGCAGGGATGTGAGGCAGGAGAACGGGAGTAAGGTTGTGGCCTATACTTACTGGAATGGGGCGGATGGAATTAAAGAAGGGGGCAGGAAGGCTCCTACGAAACAAGGTGATTCCTGCATTGCAGGGGGTTGGACTGGATGCCCTTTGGGGTCCCTTGCAATGTTACAATTCTATGAGACTCTGTTTTAAAGCACATCCGACACACATTTAGAGATCTCCCTCCCCCCACCCCCTAGCCAAAGGATCCTGACAACTCTTGTTTCTTTAGGGTATTAGGTATTTCACTTCTGTGAAGGGTAAAGCTACATTTGTGTGCCAAGGCACCTGAGCCACAAAGTTCCCAGGAGAACAATAAAATAAAACACACCGACACACACAGAGAGTATTTTGCTTTAAGGGTTCAAATAGGCCACAACTTTGTTGGTTACAGATGTGAGCGGTTTGGCTTAGGGCAGGCATGGCCAAACTTGGCCCTCCAGCTGTTTTGGGACTACAATTCCCACCAGCCCTGACCACTGGTCCTGTTAGCTAGGGATGATGGGAGTTGTAGTCCCAAAACATCTGGAGGGCCAAGTTTGGCCATGTCTGGCTTAGACATTGGAGTGAAGCCAGGCTGTATCTTGACTCCTGCCCATCTGCAGGGAGCACACAGAAGGTTAACCCACCGATAGGGGGTGCCCTATAACTTACATCAGATAGTGGCACCCGTGGGGTCCCCATAGGGCAGCGGTTCTCAACCTGTGGGTCCCCAGATGTTGTTGGACTACAATTCCCATCATCCCTGAGCTCTGGCCTTGCTAGCTAGGGATGATGGGAGTTGTAGTTCAACAACATCTGGGGACCCACAGGTTGAGAAAGGCTGCCATAGGGGCTTTGACATGGCCCTAGCCCACGTCCAGGCATTGGACAGGATTCGCACCCTGGATCCCTTTAACAGGATACCTTTACTGAGGAGGGCAGGCGAAGACAACAACCTTCCCTCCAACCAAACGAAGGCTTACCCAATGCCTAACCTCACAAAAGTTGTGACAATTGCTAATAGGTAGGCGGAAACCAAATGGCTGGTGCCAATTTGCCAAGTGGGAAAAATTCCTATGCGGCCCCAACAACATGGCGACTGACAATTGCCATAACCAGGTCATATCAGAGAAAAGCATGAAAAGAGGGTGGGTAGGGTGATGTGACAAAGAGGCAAGAAGAGGATGCCAACCGGCTGTGCCGCAGTTAAATTACCTGCGGCCACACCCACCCTGCCAGCTGATTGACAGGGGCTGTCCCCCAGCACAGATGACATAGAAAGGAGGGGGCATATCTCCACCCCTAAGCCGGAAAACTATTGAGGCTTGGCTGTCTGGCTACAATGCCCCCACCAATTAAAAGGTGAGTGGACTTCCCATGATTCTTTAAGGAACGCCGCATGCTGAGGGTTGCATCTTGAGAGCAGGTGGAAAGGGAGCCAAGTTAGGCAGCAAGGAGAACTTCCTTGTGAACAGAGTGTGGATTGTCTTCCTCTTTTAGATAGCCACTTCCGCCCTTGAAGGAGGTGGAGTTGCAGGCTTCACGGCCCCACCACGCGTGCTGCGGCTGGAGCCCAGCCCCACTTGATTGGGGGGATTCCTGGCCGCATAATCCTCTGGCCAACCAATTGGTTGGCTCTGGGAGCATGGCCTGCCCTATTTAAAGCAAGACGTGGCCAGGGCTCTCCCTCTTTGCTTTGCCACTTGCCAGCTGTTCTGGTTTTTCGCACCCTCCCGCCCTATAAGGTTTTTGTTCCTTGACCTTGCTATGGATCTTGGTTGGTCGCCGTTGAGGGGCCTGGTAGGAATTTTTCCACTTGGTAAATTGGCACCAGCCACTTGGTTTTCGCCTACCTCGTATAACTTTCTTGGTATCGGCAGTTAGGCATTGGTATTGTTCTGTAGATGGAAGAGGGGAGGTAGCGCCATCACCTGCCCCACATATTGAAGGGTAATCCGATAAAGGATTCCGGGGGGCATGGCCCTGTCCGAAGCCTAGGGAGGTGAGGGCCTAAGGCATGCCCCCTATTGGTGACCCCGGGGGAGTTCCTAGTTGATGTGCATCAGCAGGACTCCCCCTACTGGTGGTTAACCCTTCCCGGACCTCTAGCGGACGGGCTGAAGCTGGATATAGTCGGTTAGGACCAATGCCTAAGCCAATATTTCTCATCACCTGTAACCAATAAAGTTGTGGCCTTATTTAGCCTATTAACCTTAATAATTGTGTCATGTGTCTTTAGTTCCAACGGGGGGGGGGGGACTCGCCATGCAATTAGATGTAATAAGCCCTGTTTCTTCTTCCTCTTCCAGGAGACCACCACATTGTCCAGCTCCAGCTCAAATCCAAGGAAACAGGGATGACTTTTGCCAGCACCAGTTTCGTCTTCTACAATTGCAGCGTCCACAACTCGTAAGTTTGCGGTTTAAGCACCAGTCCGTCTCCCCGGCAAACTCTGGGAATCGTAGCTCTTTCCACACACCCTCCAACATTCCAGCTCATCCTCATCCCTGAGCTGGGCCGTGGCAGCACTGGCAAAGGAAATAGGGACATTCTGGGATTGAATCAGAAGCCAGGATGGCATTCGTAATTCTGGAACTGTGCCTGGAAAATAGGGGCACTTGGACGGTATGCTTTTGGGGGACTAGGGGTGTCTCCTAATAACTCTCAGCACCCATAATGAAACACAGCTCCCAGGATTCTTTGGGGAAGTGATCCTGCTTTAAACGCATATCAGGTGGCGTCCCTCTTTGTACAAACGTAAGGTAAAGGTAAATGTAAAGGGACCCCTGACCATTAGGTCCAGTCGTGGCCGCCTCTGGGGTTGTGGCGCTCATCTCACTTTAAAGGCCGAGGGAGCCGGCGTACAGCTTCCGGGTCATGTGGCCAGCATGACTAAGCCGCTTCTGGCGAACCAGATCAGCGCATGGAAACGCCGTTTACCTTCCCGCCGGAGCAGTACCTATTTATCTACTTGCACTTTGACGTGCTTTTGAACTGCTAGGTTGGCATAAGCAGGGACCGAGCAACAGGAGCTCACCCCATTGCAGGGATTCGAACCATCGACCTTCTGATTGGCAAGCCCTAGGCTCTGTGGTTTAACCCACAGTGCAATTCACATGTTCTTGGAGATCTAGCGTTCCCATGGCATGCACCCACCGTATCTTTAGCATCCCAGATTTTTGCACCACCCTTTTCCGCGACTGGTGCTCTATCGCAGACTTCCTCGCCCCCAAAGTGTGCTCTAGCTGCACCAGGAAGGGATATTTGCATCAGTTTGGCAATTCGCAAGCGACGCCAAATCCTATTTCCCCGTCTCTGCCACTTTGACAAACAGCAGCGCAGGTGAAATTGGAGGGGGGGGGAGAGAAGGGGGAGGCGGTTGGAAACCCGACTTCAGCTACCCAGAGATGCTGGCGTTTAAATATTTATGGCGTGTTTTGCTTTCCGACTTGACAAACTATAATACACTATCCATTTTTAATTTGATTTATCAGAGCAGGAGCTTGTTATCAATTTAAAGAACAGCCGAGTCTTCGGTGGATTGAAGCAGAGACAGATTTCACCAGCAGGAGAGGGAGGTGGAGTGTTTGCATCGGGGATACAGACAGAATAGGAATAACCCAGGGAGTTCCCTAGCCTTTTTCTTTCTTTTTGCAAAAAGAAAAATGTGTACACAGCAATTATGAGATATTTGCTTTTATGTCTAGGCTTACATTTGCAGCGAGGAAGGGAAGTAGGGAGTTCATGCAACAAGGACAGGGCAGAAAGATTGTGGATGATGGGGTCTGATCCTAGCATTGTCCTCTTGTTTCTGAGCCTCCGTCATGGCAAGGCTTCCTTTGAGGGTTAAAACACTGAAATTCTCAGCAATCCAGTTTTGATCCAATTGAGCTGCCGTTACATTGCAGGGGGTTGGACTAGATGTCCCGTGGGGTCCCTCCCAGTCCGAAAATTCTTTGAGAAATTTTGGCTGGATTCATCTGTTGTATGCAATGTTTTAGAGCCTACAGCTATGCTATGTGACTCGGAAACTGCAACTAATCTAGAATGAAGCAGCTAGACTAGGGACTGGGAGTGGCCACAGAGACCATATAACACCGGTCCTGAAAGACCTACACTGGCTCCCAGTACGTTTCTGTCAGGGAACTGACATCGGAGCCTGAGGCGGAGGGAAGGCTCTCAAATGATGCTGGAGAAGGGCCAAGCAGGGAGAGAGGCAGTTCAGCAGAGGGGGAAGCAAATCAACGTTACACCAGGGATAAAGGGGGGGCAGATGGGGGAATCGGCGAGAGGGCTCCAGGACTCTTCACTGGACACCAGCGGGGAGAGCATGGGTCCTCCGCTACCCACGCCCTCCCTGCGCAGAAGACTTCCACGCAGGGAGAGTAGGAGGAGACTAGGCGTCAAACAACTTTTATGTTGCAAGAGATTTAAGAAACGCCCACTGACGGATTCTGCTAGCGACTGAGGCAGCCACGAATTGAAGGGGCTGTCCAGACAGAAAGGTTTAACAAGGCAACATAGCCAGGAGAGGCGGCAACTTACGCACGAGCAACCCCATACTCATTATAGTTTCCAAGCACAATTCAAAGTGTTGGCGCTGACCTTTAAAGCCCTAAACGGACTCGGTCCAGTATATCTGAAGGAGCGTCTCCACCCCCATCGTTCAGCCGGGACACTGAGATTCAGCTCTGAGGACCTTCTGGCGGTTCCCTCCCTGCATGAATTGAGGTTACAGGGAACCAAGCAGAGGGCCTTCTTGGTAGTGGCACCCGCCCTGTGGAACGCCCTCCCACCAGATATCAAGGAAATAAACAACTATCTGACTTTTAGAAGAAGGCAGCTCTGTATCCAGAAATTTTTAATGTCTGATGTTTTACAGTTTTTATACATATGCTGTAAACCACCCAGCAGTTGCATAACATTACCCCTCAGTTAGATTGCTGAAATGCATTGTACGTGGGGCTGCCTTTGAAGATGGTTTGGAAGCTGCAGCTTCTGCAGAACTCAACGACCAGATTATTGAATAGGGCAGGATGGGAGAGCCAGTGTGGTGTAGTGGTTAAGAGCAGTGGACTCGTAATCTGGTGAACTGGGTTCGCTTCCCCGCTCCTCCACATGCAGCTGCTGGGTGACCTTGGGCCAGTCACACTTCTCTGAAGTCTCTCAGCCCCACTCACCTCATAGAGTGTTTGTTGTGGGGGAGGAAGGGAAAAGGAGATTGTTAGCCGCTTTGAGACTCCTTAAGGGGAGTGATAAAGCAGGATATCAAATCCAAACTCCTCTTCTTCTTCTTCTTCTTCTTCTTCTTCTTCTTCTTCTTCTTCTTCTTCTTCTTCTTCACATAAAAACAAAACCAGTCTTGGCTACCAATTGGATTATTGGCTCAATTCAAAGTGCTGCTTTTAACCTTTAAAGACTTACTCAGCTCAGGACCCCAATATCTTGCATTCATCATCTGAAGCTCTTCTCTGTGTGCCTCCTCTGAAGGCGTTTCAAAGGGTAGGGACATGAGGATGGGGCCTTTTCGGTGGTGGCTCCCCATTCATG